AAAAATACTACTATGACCTCTTTAACTCTTGAAAAAAACGGGCTTGGTCCTGAGGTGGGAAATGCATTAGCTAAGGCACTTTGTAAAAATTCTACATTAACCCTTTTGAATCTTTGGAGTAATCATCTTGGTTCTGCCGGTGGGAAGGCTTTAGCAAGAGCCTTATGCAAAAATACTAGTTTAACCTGTTTAAAACTTCATAACAATCAACTTGGTTCGGAGGGTGGAAAGGCGTTAGCAAAAGCTCTTTGTGTAAATAAAACTTTAACTTCATTAGGTCTTTGGCTTAATCAAATTGGTTCTGAAGGGGGAAAAGCATTAGCAGAAGCTCTCTGCAAGAATTCTACGTTGACCTTTTTAGATCTTGGAGATAATCAACTTGGTTCTGAAGGAGGTGAAGCATTAGCAAAAGCACTTTATAAGAATACCACTTTAACTTTCTTAGATCTTTGTGATAATCAACTTTATACTGAAGGTGGAAAAGCATTTGCAAAGGCTCTCCGCAAGAATACCACTCTAATTACCTTAAAACTTTATAACAATCGAATTGATAGCACAATTTTGAATATAATTAGTAAATTACTTAGAAACAATAAAAAAAGTTTTTAATAACGTATTACTATTTATATTATAATGTATGCTATAACTTAATTTTTTATCTAATTTCCTGATACACGTATAGTAGAAATTGTAAATTTAGATTATATGATAAAGATCTAGAAGAGTTAGTGAATTGGTGAGAATAATAATACTAAAGTTTTTAATTATTAAATGTCTGAAAGGTTAAGTCAGTATTTCAAGCTTAATTCGACATGCTGAGATTTATCATACAGCATGATTATTATTTCAAACGTAATTTATTCTATTTACGTTAATCTTTTGCTATGACTGCAGAGCCGATTAAGCTTTTTCTGCAATAAAAAAGCAAATGATTTCTCAGAGTTTCGAAACCGATCCATACGTATAATATGCAATACTTTGCACGTATATATGCATATATGACCATAATTCTCTATCCCCTTCGGTATAATTTTCAAATTATTAAAATTACATTTTTCGCAGCTGTACTACAGTACTATACACGTGTACATTTCATGAAATGGAATGATTGTTGATGAAACATGTTAGCTGCAAGTCAGGTCGTTTGAAGTTGAACCTTCGTTTAACATTATCCACCCTCAATTTCCTGATCTCCTACTCAAATTAAACAAGATAGAAGTGACAAATTAGTCGATATAGTTGTCGATATAGTTGTCAGTACGATAATTGGGATTTTCAGTACACTATATTTTTTATAGTTGTTTAATTTCTCCCTATGTGTAAATACAAATGCAAGTAGCATTAAACGAGGTTTCAACTTTCAAAGGGCCTTATTCTTTAGTGAGAAGATATTTAAATATTTCTTTATCAAGTATCCTGAATAAATTTTGGTAGGAATAAATGACTGGGCTTAGACGAGACTACAATGAGAAGACTTTAAGATAAAATTTAAATTCTAATTTGTAGAGTATTTTCAACACATTAGATTATTCTTAATACCATAGACAAATAGAAGAGAATATATATATATATATATATATTTATTAAACAGAAAGCTGTTGTTTTATACATGAATTTGGCTAAATATGAAAATCATATTTATTAATTACCGACTTATTTACAGTATTTATTTATATAAGTCGTTATCACTATAAAACTTGAATTTGATTGTTACATAAATATCAAGATAATATCTGAAATGGTTTACATTTTCTTCGTCACATAATACTAATTCATTTTGTGAAATCTCTAAAGCTTTTGTTATTTTGCTCTCTCAGATATTCAGTTCACCGTCGATTAAAATTGACATACGTACGTGTATTTAAAATTTATACCGATTAAAATGTCAAATTTTAATGCAAGTTTAATAAAGCATTTTAAATAGGTATTTTTTTTTTTTTTTTTTTTTTTTTGCAATATGGGTTCGAATATTTTTATTTCGTTTCTTTCACATCAAGCCTTGAAAAAATTAGTGCAACTATATAAATAATCGAAAAAATGAAGATATAAAATGGATCGTTCAAAATACAAAACCCGTCAATAAACTTGAAAGCCTAAGCTTAAATGTTGGGTTCCTATTACCTTTAAATTAGTTGGTACTATCGGAGAAATGAATGTTCAATCAGATAGACATAACTGTGGCACTCAAATCATGATGGCCAAGATAATAGTAAAAATATAATTAAATAAGTATAAAAAAAATTATATAATAATAATTCTTTATGCACTGATGACTTTCCCAGTCTTGACATAATTCCCAACAAGCAAATTTATCTCTTATAAATGCTATATAGTACCCAATAAACATAACACAACTAATAAGACTTCAAATATTATGAATAAAAACATAAAATTAAAAAATTGGCCAATATTAGTGATACAATAGAATCATCCCAATAATGTTATGGCTTAAGCAATAACTGCTAAAGCTTAAATTATCACCGGCAAATCAGGCACAAATCGTAATTGTTATGAACCTGATTTGAAACAGATATTTGGCGAAAATAGGAGACCTTTAAGAATGCCGATAGCTCTATAGGTAAATCGATAAAGCTTGTCTTATAGCTTTTTTGATTGACCTATAGAGCTATCGGTATTCCGATATGTGTTGAACGCCTTTATGAACCCGATTTTTATCTTAAAGGTCTCCTATTTGCGCCAAATATCTTCAAATCAGGTTCAGGGATTACGTGATGCCGATTTGTGCCTTATCTGCCATCATTCGACCTGTGTATAGAGCAACTGTATATAGTAAATTGTGATGCGCTATCAATAATTAAATTGTTAAATTATAAATGCTATTTCACAACAAAGTCAAGTCATTTTTCAATTTTTAAATAAACTTGTAGAGTATTATTTTCTGATTCTAATAATATCAAAATATTGCTACTAATATAAACAAACTATTATTTATATGAAATGGTATTTTTGGTTATAGTAAAATTTATAGCAAAATATATCAAAATTTACTATACCGTATTTGCGCGTAATAGCGGGCCGGGCGTTATTTTGAGCCACGGCCCGAATTAAGATTAATTTAGGCCGAAATTTGAAATTACGCCCCTGCGCGTATTTACGCGCAAATACGGTAAATTGTTATATATGCCATTTCTGTATCTTGCTCATTCCACAAGGTCTTAGCCCAAGGCTTTCATACATTCTAACTAAATCCGCAAATAAACATTTCTTTTTATGCACTTTCTTTTGCTGTTATTAATCAGAAACTATATAAAGATTATTTAAAACATATGTTAGTAACCTTCTTACTTAACAATTCAAAAGAAACTCTTAGATTTAATGTCTCATTTACTTTTTTTAAAATGGTTTATTTCGAGTGATCAAATGAGATTAATTAAATTTGGTGCTTTATATTAGCTATTTGTATATCATTTAATATTATATAAATAGAGCAAAAGCCCACAGAGAATATGGGCATAAAAAAAGCAGTACATAGCTAATCAAATTTGTGAAATGGTACAGAGATTATTCTAGAAGACAAATTTCTAATTTGGTAAAATCTCTAACTGCATTGTTATTAAATATAGATTTTTTTATTTTTTTTTGTATATAAACAATATTGGTAGTAGTTTACTTAGACTTTTGAGTTTAAAACTCTATTTTTTGTTTAATTTTTAATTTTTTTTTTTGAAATTCCTCATGATGCATAATCTGTATTTGAGATGCAAGGTGGCATATTTTATTATTTCAATATCTTATACAGTTTATTACAAGAAATTATTAGTTATATATTTAATTACTATGTATATTATCTGTAGAGCTACTTTATTGGGTATTCTCTAGCCCTTTTATTCCATGTGTTGATAAGTCTACCACTTTGTAATATTCTGGGTTCCTAATTCCATGGTATAAAATTCTGCTTTGCAGCAGTCTACAGTTCCTTATTGCCACAGCCTTAATTTCTTGTATTTTCCTATACAATATTGTATATCTTTTTTCTAATTCTGTACTTGGACTCTATGTACCTTTTATTTATTACTTGCCTATCAACATACTCATTAGGCTCTATATTTCTAGTTTTGGCCCTTCTGGACTTTACTTCTATATATCTTCTGTATTTACTAGTATTTTCTTATACAGACATTCTACTTAAAATTACTCGAGATCTGTCTGAAAGAAAAGTGCTTTCTGAAGAGAACCCAGGTCTTTTTCTTTTATTAAATCTATAATACAGCCTTTTTGTTCTTATTTGGGCCCTTTTAATAGGGAACACCATGGTCCTGATTTGGGGTTCTTCATGTTAATGATTTTCTTTTGTTAGATTTTTTTCTTTTTCTGGATATTGCACAACTTTATGACTATATTCTGCAACTTATTACTAAGCATGGTTCTAGCAGAGGTAGATTCTTCCCATAGGTTTCAAACTTATAACCTTGTGCTTGAGACCTGAGAGTGCTAACTATTACACTACTGACTTGCAGGTTTTGTTTAATTTTAGAGACTTTGATTTTTTATTTTTTTTTTCTACAGATTTTTAAAGTTTAGATATAGTTTAGAAATTTAGATATAGTTTAGAAATTTAGATAGTTTAGAGTTTTTAAAATAAGTTTAGACAAGTTAAAAAATATATTTTTAAAGTTTAATATAGTTTAGAAGTTTAAATATAGTTTAGGAGTTTAGAAATAGTTTAAAGTTTTTGAAATAAGCTTAGAAAAGCCAAAACTAGTTTAGATTTAGATATTTTACTCAAAACAGTTTAGAGCAGTATCATTAATTCTCACTAAAGATTGAGAAATACATCTAATCAAAAAAACTATAGAAAGTATAAGCAACAATATAAACTTATTTAAATACTAAAAGAAAATATAATATATAATAAAATAATCTATTATACAGATAGCTCACTTGAAGAAGAAGAAATAAAGAATTACAAAGTAGAGTATAAAGTAATTTAACTTGATAGTAAAATTATAATAGTTAAAGAACTTCAACAAATAAGAATAATGAAAACTTTGGTTAGTACTATAGAACCATTACGAGAGTCAACTAGAATAAATCAAGATTCTTCTGTGACGCTTCCTGAAATAACTGGATCTATTGTTAATGCTAATAATACTATCGCCGCTCAAGATATAAATATAGTTCAGAGTACTCAAGATATAAATATAGTTTAAGGAGAGTTTCAAAATCAGCATTCTATTTTTAATAACTGCCATTTTACAAATGTTACTTTTAACTTTTAAGATGTGAATTTTTTTTTTTTTTAACCTTTTTTTTTTTTATAGCATAGTAGTGTATACTGTAACTGTAAACATTTTTTTATATAGCGTGTATTTTTTTTATAATATACAACTTTTTTTAATTTATATGAGAAATTCCTTCAATGACTACATTTGCTAAATCTAAATAGCAATTTAAAACTGGTACAGTATAATATGTAATAAAATTTGAGAAAGCTAAAACCAACTTTGTAGTATTAAAACTATTTAATTGATCTGTTAAATAATAAGTATAAAGTAAGTTTGAGAAATTATAATAATAATAGCACAAGTTCAAATTTAAGTACTGACTCAGCGAAGAGAATCTGAAAAAAAAACCTAATTAATTCTGACCCTAACCAAGAGAATTTAAAGTACTGACCCTACTAAAACAAGTTAATTAATATAATGATCTCCCTAGCGAAAGTGCAAATGCTAATTAACATAATGATCCTGTCCAAGACAATCTTAAAAGTGCAAGTGCTAATTAACGTAACAACCCTGTCCAAGACAATCTTAAAAGTGCAAGTGCTAATTAATATAATAACCCCAGCCAAGACAATCTTGAAAGTGCAAGTGCTAATTAATATAACAAACCCGGCCAAGACAATTTTGAAAGTGCAAGTGCTAACTAATGTAATAACCAAGAAAATCTTAAATAACAATCTAAGCTCATCCAATAAAATCTTATAAATTCATAGGATTTTATGATTCGATGTGGGGCCGTGGAATAATTTTTGATATTTTCACGGGTGATCATTTGTGTGAAAATATTAGTGTGTAGTATCATGGGCGACCATTAGGAGACATGGAATAAATTAAGATAACTATTGAATAAATAAAAGGGCTACTAGTTTCTCGATACTAAACTTAATTCGATCTTAAATATTTCTAATTTGTATTTTATTTCTGCCAAATATCTATTTGTAGTCATAGTTCAATTGGAAACATTAAGGAACAAAATCGATTTTCCAATAAACCTTTTGTTATTTCTAATTTGTTCTTATTTTACTCAAAATTGCAAGTAAATTAGATACACTTCAGGTATATTTAAGATACTTATTGATTACTTAAAGGCCTACTGGAGATCAATTTTAATCTTAATTATTTTCTATTGGTCTTCTATTTCTGCTAAGTATTTGTTTGAAATTAGAGACTAATCAGAAACTTTTAAGACCAATATCGTTATGCTAGTAGGCCTATTAATAAACTTGACTGAAATCTTATTTTACTCTAAAGTATAAAAAAACTGGGATTAAATAATATACCTATTATTATTTCTAACTAGGCTATTTTTTATTTATTTTTATTTATATACTTATATATACATTATAACATTTGCTTTATAGAAGCATTTGTATATTAATATATTTATTTAAATTAAAGTATAGCTTTGATATTTTTACATATTGCTATTACTAAAAAAAAATATTACAAATTTTATAATTTTTTAAAATTTTTCATCTTTGGTAGTAGCATCTTTGTTATTACTGCTTTCATTTTTACCACCACTTTCATTTTTACTGCCACTTCTATTTTTACTATTACTTGCATTTTCACTACTACTTGTATTTCTATTTCCACTGTTACTACCATTTCCACTACCACTTGCACTACTATTTTCATTTCTATTTTCACTATCACCACTATTACTACTCTTCCTTTTATTATCACTATTTG